ACAAAACTTGGCAAAATTTTCCCATCAAAGCAACAGCATCATTCACAGACTTGTGATTCTCAAACTCGATCAGCACATGTCTTAGTGTTTACATGCAGGGGAAGACATGTTGACAGCAACAATAAAATACTAACTACTCATTGAATTACTTACATAATGTTGCACACTGTGCTTTGTTTAACCTAAGTATTATTTACAAAATCGTAATGGCAGGAGTAAAAAATCATTAATGAACCATGGGGTGTTTTATCCGCTTCAAAAAATGCCATGGAGGAGAAGGGGAAGGTGGCGGAGAATTAAAAAATTGTGAAGTAAAATTTGCTATCCAAGTTGTTTCTTCAGAGGCTGAGACAAAAGTGACTGGCCAGCAACTTTTCCATCCCGCCTAAACGTTTTACTTCTAGAATGAAAAGAACCAACCCTACGCTCATTGGCCCATAGCCAGGCCTTGCCAAGTGTCACAGAACAAGAATTCTTATTGGTTGGTTGCCCCTCCAAGCCTTCTCAGCAATTGTTTAAAATTCGTGGCTGTTGATTGGCTCTTCTCCTGTTTACAGGATCTCACTTTTGTCACAAATTTGTCAATAGGGTTTCATGTACAACGTTCTTCATACGAAAGTACAGTATAAAATGCATTCACAGTGATCGAGATGTGTGTGCATGGAGTTAGCCTACATTTTGCACAGCACATATAATATAACCAACAGGAAAAGATCAATGCAAATTTTGCTGCTTATAAATAATTTGATCATTTAGTGATAACATTGAATGTACCGTGACCCATACAATACTACACAAATAATTAATTTACTTTCACATTTTTATTTGTGCAATTTAAAAGGGTTTTAGTGTAAAAAAAACTTTCATAAAAAAATAGAAAGAATAAACAGCGCCGCCAACAGTTGTAAAATGTTCCACAACTCATGGATTTCTAAGCAAAATGTTGAAGAAAATTTTCACTTCTATCTCAAAATGCCGAAACCGCATTGAAGGTCATCAAGCAGGTTCTGATTCTCCATGGTTTACAAAACTGGAATCTATCAAAAAAACCCAAAATCGCCTAGGAGTCTTCGAAATCGAGGTTCAAAAAAAGACCTGAACCCACCATCCGTGAGTACGAATACCGATGTTCACAATGGCCAAGATGGCTGCCATACGTGCTCGTGTAAGAAAGACATCATCCTCATGAACACGAAGCTTGACATGATCTTGACAACCCTGGAAACTCTCGGATCGAGAATAATTGCGGTGGATGTTAAACTGCATGAAACCACAGAAAAAGTGAGTCTACAAAACACAGAGATTGGGGATCTCAAGAAGTCACTTTCTTTAACCAGGAAAAGAACCACGCCGACTCCGTTTCAAGCCTTAAGACTCAGGTCAATGGTAACCATCTGCATATTCGTCAGATAGAAAAACAAATCGATAACCTGTGAATTCGCTGCCGAAGGAATAACATAAATTCTTCATGGTATCCCAGAAGGATCAGGGGGACCTTTCCTGTGAAGAATTTGTTTAATAATAATAATAATAATAATAGTGGCATCTTATTAAGCGCAAACAGGTTCAATATTCGGTGACACTCATGGCGCTATACAAAGAGTGAGTACGAACTACAAAAAATATAAATGACAAAATTATAAATGACAAAACTACAAATTATGAATGCTAGGTCCAAGACATATGAATTGCAAGGTGCAAGCCGAAGAGGAGATTAGATTGTGAACAGGTAGGTTTTGAGTTCTTGTTTGAAGGAGATCGAAGAGGGAGCTTGACGGAAAGAGAGGGGTAGACTGTTCCAGAGAGTGGGGCCTGAGTGAGAGAAGCTGTGGTCACCCCAAGAGTGTCGGGATCGAGGAAGTTGAAGAAGGGTGATGATCGAAGCCTGCGTGGGGGGTGGTATGCCTGTATTGAGTTTTGTAAGTAGACTGGTGAAGAGCAATGGACTGCGTGGTAGACCAACCACAGAACTTTGAAGGTGATGCGTTTGTCAACGGGCAGCCAGTGAAGAGACTGAAGGACAGGTGTTATGTGACATGCTTATGTTTCTGATTTCCTCAAGTCACACATGAAGCTTGACGACGGGGATCAGATAGAAGTTAAACGGGCCCATCGTACACCTACACACCGATCATCAAATCAGGCTGGTAAAACTCGCCCACGACCCATTCTCTGTAAACTCCTCCGCTTCGGGGACAGACAGTACATCCTCAAACAGGCTGCAAAATCCCTCCGGAACAATCCATATAAAGGAGCAAAAATCTACATTTCCGATGACGTAAGTAATGATGTCCGGAATGCACGCAAGCAGCTACGAGAATACAACCGAGGCAACACCCGGGTGCAGTTTGCATACATTCCCTGGTCATTACTTACAAGCTACACACCGGTGCATTCAAGACCTTTCATCCTGGAGAATCATGTTTGTTTTTGTGTTCTTGTTTTTGTGTGTGATTAATTGTGTGTGTGACCAATTAAACGAAGCTACCACTTTAAATATGACCTTGGGATTTAATCAATTTAACATTGACAGGGACAACTCATTCAACAATGTCAATTTTAACATAGACCCTGATTTAACTTATAATTTTACTGAAATAATATGCGACTACTTAGATGAGAACACGTTTCTTGATTATTTTCAAGTCAATCCTAACGCAAAATTATAACACATCAATGCAAGAAGTCTGAACAAAAATGTGTGTAAAATATCACATCTTAACCTATCACAAAATAAGATTTCAATAATTGGAATAACTGAGACCTCCCTTAAAAATGTAAATGACCCTTTAATTCAGCCACCACACTTTAAAATTGAGGGCTTTTGTAGACAAGATAAAAGGGGAGGTGGGATTGCATTATATGTAAGTGAGGATATAACATACAAAGTTCGTTACGATATGTGTATAAATCACCCAAATATCGAATCATGTTTAATTGAAATACAAAATGCGCATATCAATAATGCTATTGTTGGAGTAATATATAGACCACCTGATACTTCTTGTGGTGATTTTATAACAGGTCTTATTGATATCTTAGGTCTCCTGAACAAGAAAAAAAATGTTATATTATAGGTGACTTCAATATTAACCTGTTAAATCAAAATACTAATGCTGTTGTGAATAATTTTCTCAATGTATTGGCAACCTATTCTTTTTACCCTATAATAATTCAACCTACCAGAATTACTGATACCTGTTCTTCTTTAATTGATAATATATTTACTAATGACTTTTCAGATCACTCGTCTGGAATCCTCATTACCGACATAAGTGATCACTTGCCTGTGTTTTAGCTATAAATAAAACCAAATCAAAGACACACTCTCTGCCAAATTATAGACGCGACTTTTGTGATGATAATATTGAAAGATTTATTAACGATCTCAATCAAACCGATTCGAGTTTCATTACAAACCTTGAAGATGTTAGTGTTGTGTATGATGTATTTTTGGAACGTATTCTGTGTGTATACAACCGTAATTTTCCTTTACATGAAGTCAATAAACGTAACAACAAGTGTAAATCTCCCTGGTTAACAAATTGACTTTATAATTCTATCAAAAGAAAGAATGTACAGAAAGTATCGCAAGACCCACTCTCTACAAGATAAATCAATTTATATGCAATTTAGAAACAAGCTAAATGCACAAATTCGAGTGGCTAAAGTAAGGTATTTTGGTTATAAATTAAACGAAGCAAAGAACAATATTAAAGGTACTTGGAAAATCATAAAGTCAATTCTGAATAAACGCAAACCTAAAAAAACACCATCGCACTTTGTACGCCAAGATACGGAAATTCGTGGAGACAAAAATATTGCTAATGCATTCAATGATTATTTTGTAAACATTGGTGAGAACATTGCCAGCAAGATGCCATCACCTGACGTTTCTTTAGATTCTTTTCTTCCCGATGGATGTCCGAGTTCCTTCTTTTTTAATCCTGTTATACGAAAGAGTATATTGTTGACATTATAAACACACTTCCTAATGACAAAGCCCCGGGTTGGGATACAATTAGCTCAGTTGTACTTAAAAAAGCCAAGTATTCTTTCCCCGTTCCACTGGCTTTAACACATTAATTGCTGCGGGTGTCTTTCCAGATGGGCTTTAGGTTGGAAAGGTTATTCCTATATTTAAAAAAGGATGTAAAACTGATATATGTAATTACAGACCAATTATGGTATTATCAGTTCTATCGAAATTGTTTGAAAACTTATTTTTTTGCCGTTTGATTTCTATTGTAAACAAAAATAGTATTCTCACAGACTGTCAGTTTGGGTTTAGAAATCATAGATCAACTGAAATGGCTGTAGTTCACGTTGTACACAAAATACTTAGAGCACCAAAAAATGTCAATGGGGATATTTTTAGATTTGTCTAAAGCTTTTGATACGGTTTATTATACAAAACTTATACAAAAGCTAGAAGACTACGGAATTCGTGGAATAGCCCTAGATTGGTTTAAAAGTTATCTTTGTTAGTAATAGAAAGCAATTTTTTTATTATAACTCTCAAACGTCTGTTGAACAGTACATTTCTTGTGGGGTTCCACAAGGTTCGGTTCGGGGCCCCTTGCTTTTTCTTATTTACATAAATGACATTTGGTATTGTTCCAGTATAATATCTTTGTGTTTATCTGCCAAAGACACGAGTTTACTTTATGACCATGATGATATTAATACAGGAGTTAGTAAACTTAATTTGGAACTTAGAAAAATAGGGTCATGGCTATTATCAAATAAATTATCCCTAAATCTCAAGAAAACAAATTATATAATATTTAGTAGTTGAAAACGTAAATATTCTCAGACAGTCCCCTTAATTCTCAAAAGTACTGTCATTGATAAAGTATCAAATACAAACTTTTTAGGAGTTCATATTGAAGTGATTTGAATACTGCGGTGTCACAGCATGATGAGGGAGTTTGATCCCAAACTAAATCAGGATAAGTGTGTTGGAGGCTGCCCCAGATGGAATCACACGGAATCACCAGTTCAGTTCAATTTCAGCGATTAATAGAGAATTTATTCAATCATCAGCAAATCAGTAGAATAACAATGAGTTAATTAGATCAGTTGCAGTTAATGAACATGATGAACAGATGTTGATCCCAAAACTTCCCCAGTATATGTGCTATGTGTGTGGATCCCGGTCACGATGCAAAGACAGATCACCAGGCAAAAGATCCCGTATAGTAAAGATCCCGTATAGTAAAGATCCCCAGGTGCAATAAATGAAGGTCTCACAGTAGACCGCGCCTACATATTGCCTACGGAAAAATAAACAAGACAACACTGCGGTCAAAATACATGGTGAATGTGTACACAATGGCGGTCAAAGGTCACACACACACAACGCGAGTTCAGACGCTGTGCGCTGAGCATACAAGTACAACGTGGGTGTGTGTGGGAATATGCACGACTGTAGCTATGGCGACGACGCTGCAAAAGTGGAAAGTTCGTGAGTGAAAGTGTCACAAAAACGCAAGTTTCCCGCAAAGTTATGATAAAAAGGACACTCACCACAGGTTCCAGAGGCGCCCACCTTCCCTCTCAGCACATGATTATGCTGGCAAACAGCAAGAGGAAGGTGAAATCTCACCGAGAAAATCCCGGCTACAAAATAAGTGACTGCCGTCCAAAAGTTGGAAGACAAGCAGTGCCTGTTTCGCGCGCTCCCGCACGATGCGGACACATCACCAAGTGTCTCTAAAATATTATTGCACCCTCAACAAAATGCTGTTACGGATTACTTACACCCGTAAATGACATAATATACTCAAAGGAACTTCCACTTACACATTATTGTCATTCTTTTACAATTATAATAAGAAAATGTAGAAGAAACCCTCTAAAACTATGGACCTACTTGTTTCAAGAGTGAATGGACATTGAGTTAACAAGTGCTACATTTGCATAGGTCACGCGTCAACAACAACATAGGTCAATCTAAATATAGCCCTGTATCCGGGCAGCCGGTGTGTGGATGGAGGTAACGTGCCCCCACAAATTCCCTGCTTTAAGACCACGCGACCCGAGTGGTCCCTACTCAAGTACAATGTACTATGTTATTCAAATGTTGTAAGATTTCACTGTGCAACATCAGTATTAAGCACCATATTAATTAATACACATTGGCAAGATATAATTTAACATCCAAAATATTTTTTTAAAGATAAACTTTAACGAGAACACTTTTTTTATGTTATACATGTTATATACATGTATGATAAAGTGTGCATACAAGTACATGTCTACTGGTCGTTACTCAACTTCCATTGTTAAAAAGGATGAAGCTGACATACTTTTACATAAGAATATGGCATGAATGAAAGATACACATGTATGCGTCTCCTTTAATACTACGCAATAGACATTTGACACTTGTAGTGCTAAATGGGAAACATATTTTACAAAAAGCTTTCAATAATTCCAAGCACATACATTTCCAAAGACCTTCTCATTTAACATACTCAAGATCAATGGATAAGTTTATACTTTAGTCAACTATAGCAAAAAGTTTTAACACTTGTCAATGCACATGCATCAATTCTTATTTCCAAAATAGTCAAACAATTGATATCCACACTTGTATTTCTCAAATTCTGTTCCACAACAAATTTTCTGATAACCTTGGTCAAAGCTCGATAATTACTCTTTGAAGTCAATACAATGAAATCAGCTTTTCTACAGCTGCTGTTTTAATTATAAGGTATTTCAATTAAAGTAGTCGCCTTTAACGACCTTAAAATGTCTTCCTTGACAAAACCAAGCAAAAGTATACACTTAATATATGGCAAACAAATCTCTTTTCTTTCTTTTTTTTCTCTTTTTTCTTTTTACCATTGAGCAAATCTGTTATTCTACATAGAGCAACTGCGAGACACATGTGTGTAGCTAAACACTTGTCTACAATAATTTCACTTAGTATATCTGCAAATAATCTCCTTCAGGCCTCTACCATAATATTATTTGTTCATACCCTCCTGGTTTAAATGGCAACCATCTTCAAGAACATACTTTGGGCGGTTCACCTTTTGTTGGGCATATTGGAAAACCTTCAAGTTCCCACGTAGATCCCTAGCTAAAATAGCATTGAATCGCTGGGCCCGATGTCTGAATGTGGCAACATCTATCTGTCCTTGACGCGTTATTTTAGTACGCTGAATTACAGAAAGCAGTATTATTTGTCCTGGGGTTATACCCTTGGACTCCAGCAATTCAACAAAACGGAGTGTATCCTGAAGAAGAATGGCAGGGGTGACTTCTGGGCTACAGAGATCATTTGTCCCCATATCAATGATCAATACATCAATTTTCTTCTTTTTAATCTCACGCAGATAATGATCTGTGCTAGGAAATAATCTAGCATATGTTAAGCCTGGATGGCCTTCTGCAAACAGAGTACAAATATCTTGTACTCCAATCAACTCAGAAACTAATTGATGGCTTCTCTGAGCCTCCCGATAAAGTCGGGCAACGAAAGAATGGCCAAATAGAAAAACATGCGGCTTTTCTGCCATATTTGATGCAAATACATGGAAATGGTTAAGCGGGCTTAAAACTTCCAGAACATGTGGCAATATATATTACATACTTAACATAAAACAAACACTTCTGAGCCAACTTGGCAATATATTACGACTTCTGCGATCACATGTGCATTGGAGGCGAAGACGGCATACACCTTCGTCCTACACCACAAATGTGGTGCAAGTAATCTCCTCCCCAATGTACTTAAAACATATCATACGCTGGGAAGTATGATACACAATAGTTATTTACTGAATCAAGTTATTGCATTAGGCCATTGCCCCAAACGACTTTTCTTCTTAAGTCGCTCTGAACGTCGTACACCTGGTACGGCTTTTGTCAGACTTGGCTGCTGACCGTCACTGGTCACTATGTGAGAATCTGGTGGCTTAAACAGAGAAGGTGGTGCAACCAACACCTCATCATCAGAACTATCTGAATCTGATTCTGAATCAGTGTCAGCATTAGAGGAGTCATCAAGTGATGGGAGATTCTGGAGTGGAGTCTCAGGTACAGGTAACTCACCCCTGGGGTCTACAATGAGCATTTTTCTATTGATCCATTTTTCAGGACCACCACCAATTGGCCTAACCGCATACACATCCCCATCTGCGTTATGTCTAACCACAACAAACTGTTCGGAATCAAAATGATCACTCAACTTATGGCGATCTGTGAATTGACACTTCTTAAGAAGTACCCTTGAGCCCACTTCAAGAGGTTTAGCATGCGCTCGCTTGTCATATTGTCTTTTGTTTCTATCTGCAGCCCGAGCAAGCCTTTCCTTTGCAATTGCATGGGCTTTCTGAATGAACTGCGCCTGCTGCTTTATTGCATTTTCATCCCAACTCCCTCGCGCATTGCTCAACAAGTGATCTAGGGGAATAGAAGGCTCCCTACCGAACATCAGGCAATAAGGAGTGTAGGCGGTGATGCTGTGTGGTGTGCTGTTGTAAATAAATACCAAGTGTGGAAGGAGCTTTGGCCAGTTCCTACGGTTTTTGAGTTCAACAGACTTGATGAGGCCACAGAGCGTCCTGTTGAAACGCTCTGTCTGCCCGTTACCCTGCGGGTGGTAAGGGGAGGTTCTAGTTTTATGTATTCCATACAGATTACATAATTCTTGCACGATATGACTCTCAAAGTTCCTGCCCTGATCCGAGTGGATCTGGGAGGGAATACCGTAGTGAACGAACCATTGGTCATGGAGAACTTGAGCAACTACCTTTGCAGTCTGATCTTTACATGGAATGGCTAACACGAATTTAGTGAAAGCGTCCGTCATCACCAAGACGTCTTCGAAATTACCATGACCTCGATCCAACTTAAGAAAGTCTATAGCCAGACGCTCCAGGGGTCGAAAAGCCAAAAGGTGGCGCATGGGGGGACGGACTACTGGCGTGGGAGCCTTGGCTACAGTGCACTGAAAACATTTCTGAATGTATTCCTTAACCTGAACATGCATACTTGGCCAATAACAGCGACTCTTAATAAGTCCTAAAGTTCTTCGTACACCTTGATGCCCCCATTGATCATGAGTAGCCCTTATAATGTCAGACTGCAGTTGCTTTGGGACAAGCAACTGAAACACTTGCCCCGAACCAGGGTCACTAACTGCTCTATACAATACACCGTGTCGTTCGACTAGTTGGGGCCACTCTTTCAACCAACCTTTGACCTCCTTTGAACTTTGTTCTGGACTCAGACCACCTATTCCTGGGTCCCAATGGCGTTCCCATAGACACCAGACTTCACGAAGGGCATCATCCCCCTTTTGTATTATAGCCAAATCTGAATGAGAATAAGATGGTAGCACCGAAGATGCAACAACAAGTGGTTCCTCGACCACTTTCACTTCCTGTGCACAAATGTGCACTGGATTTGAGACGGAGCACAACTGACTAGACAAGGGTGTACACTGCATGATAGACCGTAATTCCTCAGCCATTTCTAACACTGTTACTGTTTGGACAGGTGGATTGCGGCTAAGCGCATCTGCGCATTTGTTTGAACGTCCTGACCGATACCTGATTTCGATATCAAATGCGGCCAATTGGGCAACCCACCGCTGCTCCGTGGCTCCCAGTTTAGCAGTCTGAAGGTGGGCAAGAGGGTTGTTATCTGTCCACACCGTGGTGTGTCTACCTAACCAATACTCCCTATATTTCTCTGAAATGGCCCACTTCAGGGCAAGTAACTCCAACTTAAAACTTGATAAGTCAGAATAACCCTTCTCTGCCCCCCTCAGACCGCGACTGGCATAAGCCACAGGGTGCAAGTGGTCATCGTCATCATACTGCGAAAGGCAAGCCCCGAGACCCTTCAAAGACGCATCTACTTCTACGACAAAATCACGATCAAACCGCGGATAAGCTAGGACGGGTGCGCTGCAGAGTGCCTGTTTAAGCAACCTGAAAGCTTCATCAGCTTCTGTTGGCCATTCTATAGGCCCCCTGGCCTTCCCTGCTTTTGACGCTGCTTTGCCCACTAGCGCATGCAAAGGCACAGCAATCTTAGCAAAATCTTTGACATAGCGCCTATAATAGGACGCGAGTCCAAGGAACGACCTCAATCGTTCCACACTTGTAGGAACTGGCCAATCTCTTATGTGTTCTATCTTGCTAGGATCAACAGACACCCCCCTGTCACTCACGATATGGCCCAAATGAGATACAGAACTCATGAACAACTGGCATTTCGAGCCGTTAAGCTTCAAACCATTGGAAGTCAGTCTACTGAACACTTTGTCTAATCTTTCTAAGTGTTCATTCATGTTTGCAGAGAACACAAGTAAATCGTCCAAATACAAGACAAGTTCAGACAAATTCATATCTGCAAAAATCAATTCCATAACACGCTGGAACGTGCTAGGACTGTTTGTCAATCCCCGAGGCATCCGAAGAAATTCATACAGCCCCCAAGGAACACGGAAAGCAGACTTGGGTATGGAGTCTGTGTGTAAAGCCACTTGGAAATAACCATGGGCAAGGTCCAGTGAAGAAAATAACCGGGAACCCCCCAATGATTCTAACGTCTCTTCTATTCTGGGGAGAGGAAACGCATCTTTCTCAGATTTTGCGTTAATGCACCTATAGTCTATGCACAATCGCAGCTGCCCGTTCTTCTTCCTGACCAACACTACAGGACTGGCATATTGACTAGCCGACCTCCTTATAATGTTCCTATCTAAGAGATCCTGTAGTAATTTCTTGACTTCTGATGTCTGACTAGGGATGATTCTTCTATATGGTAAATTGACAGGTTTGTCATCTGTC